CAACATTTTAGAAAACCTACTGTGAACCTTGAAAAAAGAGATAAGATTCAGTAATAAACTTGTCTAATTTCAGATCATTCTCCCAGCGATCATCTTCAAATCTGGGAAAAGTCCATGTTTTATTATCATGAAACACACCAACAGTATCAACGATGACTTTGGTGAAGTAATAACTTGTTGTTTGCGTTGTCACTATAATTTTTACATTGTTATTTATCGCTCCGAATCCAGCAAGGAAAAGAAAAAACGCAATAAAAATATTATTTTAAATCATTTAACTTTTCATTAAATTAATACTTAAAACGTGGTAAAATGGCGTCCAAGTGCGTTTAGGACAACAGTTAGGCTGCAGTTAAACGACGCGAAAAATGTCTTGCAACTGCGCGATGGCTGCGTAAAACTGTTCAGTAATAGCAAATTTATGTTTTATTAACTAAGACTTAACGTTGAAATTCTTTGTGAGTAACAAACTGCGCGGCGATCACGCGGCGTCCGCTCCTCGATCACACTGCAGCCGCGCAGCCGCGCAGCCGCCTCGCTCGAATCACTCGAATGTTTTAACATCAAATGTTTTGTGTGATGTGAATCAAATGATGTATCAAATGTTTTAACATCCATTCGGAAATAATCTGCGATTTGTTTTTCATATTCTCGCAGTTAGTTGTACAGCATATGAAATTCACCAAACTCTTCTCACCATGCTAAAATAGTATGAAACCAAAATCTTTTACATTTCTTTTTTTTTCTTTTTTACTTTGTCGGTACAACTAATATGCAATCATAATTTTCTTCTTCTTAGTCAAATAGCCCATAACAAATTCGTGTGAATTTAAAGAAAGATCAAGATCAACTGCAAATGAATCGAGTTAGCAGTGGCGTGGCGGGGCCACCAGCCGGTGATCGCGCGGCCGCCGCGCCGTCGCCGTACTGTCACCTTACCGCGCGGCCGCCACACTGTGCTATTCTGTGTCATAAAAACACGCCCTTACGGTGTCAACCTACTAAATGTTATTTAGTTATGCGCAAGAGTTTTAAAAATAAAAATAGTAAATTTCTCGCCATTTCAAATCGCTCACTTAATCAAGAAGTGAAATGAACATCTAACCCGTGTTGTACAGTCAGCAACAAATAGGGTATCCAAAACTGACAAATTTCTCCAACTATCTTTTAGCTTTATTTATCTCGGTATAATGTACACAATCGCTTTTTACCCGACTGCGCAATGCAAGAGCGCGAAGCGCGACGCGCAGACAGGGTATAGTGTTTAACAGTCTATATGTATGTTTGTTCCTTTGTGGCACACTAGAGACCAAACGCCTTGACCGATTTTGATGATTCATACATCAATCGATTCGTCTCAATCGTGGGAGTGCTACTAAAGCTATGATAGTAATCAAAATTCGATTCGACGAAGTAAAAAAAATAAGTTAACGAAATATGTCGAGTGCGGTATCACTGTCTAGATAATCGAAAATCATATTTAGGTTCCTAACACCATTTTTAAGTCAATGCATTCGCCCGGATTGCGAAGGGTGCGGGTTCGAGTCCCGTCCGCTGCCTGGTCCGCGTGGATTTTTTTCTAGTTATATTATCTTTAGATTTAAACATCAAGCAATTACATATATATTATAACCATTTTTAATTTTATATGATTGTTTAGGATCTACAACGCTTTAAAGTTGTATATTAACCACTTGCGCTTTTATTTTAATCTTACTTTTGTACGGATCTTTGTTAGGTACTCTATTACCTAAAAAATACTGAATGGATTTTAATGAAACTTAACAGTAATATTTATTTATTTATTTATTCAAAATACATTACACCATTATAACAGGTATATACCTAATTCAATAGTGTAGTCGTCCTTTCAAGCTAACTATAAATTCTTATAAAATTACATTAATTATTAACAATATTATTTCAATGTTGTAAATTATATATAAATGTCAATAAAAATAAATAAAAGAAAAAACAATGTCAATTTAAGCAAATGTCAATTAAAAATCTATAAAAAAAAAAAAAATAACTTCAATTTAGGATGCATTACAAATATTGTCCATAAAATCTAAAATTCATAATACATTTCTCAAAATAAATAAAAATATATTCCAGTAAAAAAGTCAATAATGTTATTTATAGCACAACACTTTTAAAGTTACTTTCGTAAACTCGCCAATCGAACAGGTGAACAAATCGATAGACTCGGCAACTACATTGAGCGTGTGTATTGTTCGCGTCAGAGGTGCGGTGGCCAGCAGGCGGGTGCGGGCGCGCGGCACCGCGAGAAGCTGCGGCCGCCGGCGCCGCCACACGTATCTATCAGGCACGCATAAATTTAGCAATCCTAATATATTTGGGTTGCAGGTAATGCCTCGCAACACCCTGACTATGTAATCAGCGAGTGCCAATTCCCTTCTTGTCTCCAACTTGTTGTAACCGACCATGCCCAATACGAACAAGGTTGGGTACATCAACGGATAGAAAGGGTACACTCCGTATAACTTTAGGTATAAGTATCTCGTGTATTTATTTTGTATGCGCTCCATCATTTGTCTATACTTTGTTTCGTGTGGAGCCCATACTATCGCGTTGAATTCGAGCTGACTTCGTATATGCGCATTATACAGGGCCGCAATCGCTTTCATATTCGTAAAACCTACTGAATGACGCAAAACAAAACCCAAACTTCTGTAAGCTTTTTTACAAATATTCGTAATATGATCTTTAAAATTCAATTTGTGATTTAATTGTACTCCCAAATCTCTGACTGTCTCAGTCCTATGTAATTTTGAATTTTCAATTTTGTAGTCGAAGTGGAGCGGAGTTTGTGCTCTACTAAAAGATATTATGGAGCATTTGTTAGTATTAAACTGCAGTTTATTTTTTCGACTCCACTCCACCACCCTGTCAATGTCTCCATGTAACCGTTCACAACCCTCGTAGTCCTTAACGGCCCACAACAATTTCAGATCATCTGCGAAAAGTAAACATCGAGCATACTTGACCACTTCTGGCAGGTCATTTATCATAACGATAAATTCTAATGGGCCTAGGTTGCTGCCCTGACTCACCCCAGTTCTGGTAAAATAGGACTCAGATTTATACCCAGCATACTCCACATACTGCATTCGATCCCTCATGTAACTTACAAAGAAATTAAGGAGTTGATTAGTGCAACCGACCCCAGCCAACTTCGCCAACAATACGTCGTTATCGACAAGATCGAACGCTTTTTTGTAGTCGAAGTAGGCGACGTCAACTTGCTCTCCTGCGTCCACACGAGGTACAATGTAGGTCATCGCGTTCATTAAGTTGCTGGTAGTGCTGCGTTCAGGCCTGAACCCGTGTTGCTCGTTAGATAATTGAGCTGATACCTGCAACTGAATGCTCCGCTGCAATGCGCCTTCAAATACTTTTGCCGGCGTCGATAGAATCGCGATAGGCCTAAACCCATTTACTTCCGATCCCCCATCACTTTTAGGTATAGGCACAACCCGTGTGGTTTTCCAGCATTTCGGAAAATAAGATGCCTCTAAGCATATATTAAATATATGCAAGAGTGGCTCCGCCAGAACAGCCCGGCAGTCTCCGACGACAAAAGAAGGGATGCCGTCAGGTCCTGCGGAACGCTTCGGCTTTAACCGCACCATTGCCTCTCTTACCTCGCGCAGCGTGAGCTGTGGGACGTGAATACGAGCGGCACTCGCCCCGCTGGCTGCTGTTGCCTCCGCCACGTCTAGCTTGGCGGGTTCATTACCGTATACAGAATGGAAATATTTTGCGAACTCCTTTGCACATTCAGAATCTGGTAAAAAAGTTCCATTTTTGGTAATCTTTTTGCGATTCACTGTACCCTTTTGTGATCTCACATAATCCCAGAAAAACTTTGGATCTTTTGCTAAGTTACACTGAACCCTATTTGTGTATGCATCGTGCGCCAGAGTTATCATTTCCTTTACCTTAGCCCTGCATTTAGAAAAGGATGCGTAGTTTTCTGATGTTCTATTAGATTTGAACTCTTTATGGAGTTTTGCTTTCAATTTTATTGTTTTTATTATATCTACTGAGTACCACTCCGGATACCTATACCTACCGGTTTCTTTACGAGGCCTCTTGCTAGGTACGCATTTATTAAATACGTCATTTACAGAAGCATAAAAATAATTCACCGCGTCATCTGGATTTCGCATAATGTACAATAACTTCCAATCAATGTCAGCTAGCAACGGATACAATACACTATTATCAGCTTTAGTAAAGTTCCATTGTTGAAAATCTTCGCATGAAGTACATGACGGCGCTGACGGGAGCGGCGATAACAGCGCACCACGCCGCCGGTCAAACCGCACACTCACGGCGAGAGGCGGGTGATAAGAATCCACCGGCACAAGAGCCTCATCCGCCCTGCGTACCTCACTACCATCCGCTATGCTCTCCGAACACAACACTAAATCCAGCTGCCTGTCCATACAATTTGGCACCCTATTCAACTGAGCGAGTTTACAGAAAGCTGTAAGATAATCAAAGTAATTAATTACATTTTCATTGGTAGAATACAAATTAAAATCACCTAAAATTATAATTGTCTTATACCTAACAGACCATTGTTCAATAATTCTGAATAAAATCATATAATCATTTTCTGTACTATCCGGGGGAATGTAAACAACACAACATAAAAACAAGTATCTATTATTTAAAAACACTGCCGCGCCGAGTATTTCGAACACACAGTTATCTATGTTGACGTCACTCGGTAGCTTCACTTTCCGCAGTTCCAACCGGTGTGTGGCCACGAGAAAAACGCCGCCTTGTTTTCTTCCATCCGTTCGATCGCATCTTAGGATTTTATAATCGGGCGGAACGATTTCCGCATTGTGAATAGATTCGTTTCTGTTATTGCAAATAAATCGGCGCACGAAGATTCTATATTATTACGAAATGTATTCAATTTAGTACGTAGGCCTCTTGCGTTTTGGTAAAACATATTTATGATGCTATACTTTGTCAATGGGTAAGTTTGTAGCTCTCCGAAACCAAACCCATTCCGCAAATTCCACATTAACAGGCCAAACTTCCGGTTGACAGAGCTTGTCATAATATTTTTCGGGCAAGGTGATAATAAATGATGAATAGTTTCTTTGCGTCTTATGCCTTATCTTTTCAATTCTTATTATGATTTCCGAACCGCACATCATTTTTACATGAGATGACAACATTTCCACTGTAGTATCTGGTGTTAGACGCCATACGTGAAGAATTTTATTTCGCTCTTGACCTTTGATGTTTACCAACTCTGTATTTTTACCTCTTTTTACTTCCGTTGACTGGATCTTTTCACTCCTTAAACTCACATTATTTATCTCGCTTATTTCTTTTACTGGCGTTAATACAAATTCATTTATCATAGACTCATTCTCTGTAGTATTTTTACCCTGTTTCCTCGTTTCCTGTTTGTTGGTTGTTTTAGTTTTAGTGGAATGTTTAGCATTTCTCATGTCGGTTGCTTTCCATTCACCCAAATCAGCCCCAGATTTCTTAGAAACGCGTGTGGTCTCCAGGTTTTGTACATCATTTACACTTTGATGTTCGCTTTGCGATGCGTCACCGAAAAATTTTTTCGCTGACTTCGTGGCCCCACGCTGCATTTTTTCCGCCGTTTTGAGGGTACTTGCGCTCGCGATTATGTCAGTGTCAGTCGCTGTTGTTGCTGTGAGCAATTTGCCAGCCGTATGATCAGGTGTTTTGTGGTTTGTGTTGTATTCCAATTTATTAACGGATGATTCGAAACGGTTACATAAAGCCGTAAACTGGGTATGTATTGAATTAGATGGTATGCTATGCTGGTTTAAAAAAGATTCGAAGTCTGATTTGAATTCTTGCAAATCCTGTCTTGTCGAATAGCATAAATCTTTGATACATTTAATTGTTGTATCTTGAGTATCCATTCTATTTGTCAGTTCTAAACGCATTTCTCTTATTTCGGCCATGAACCTTTTTTCAAAATCTACAGATAAGCCATCTGATTGCTTACTCCGACACCCGCGTTGTATAGTAACATTGGATTCTGAATTTGGTGTGATCATCAGCTGGTCCAATGCACGAACAGGTGTGTTACAGTCGAAATGTTTTGGTTTAGTATTAACACATTCAGGACATACCCATAGTCGCTTGTACTCCTCCGTAAACAAGTCAAAATCCTTTTGTTTGAACCCAAGACATACTAGGTCATATACTTTTCCACATTTGACCTGTGAACACTGCATCTTTCGCGCACTGGTTACTTTATTATTGCAAGCACTGCAGTAATTAGGCATCGTTTCGCAGTTAATTACTATAATAAATTAGATTTTAGCAAAGAACACAAAAAACACGTCCGTTACAAGCGAAATCTGTGTTGCCATATATACTATATACTATATAATATACTGTAGGTGCTTCATTATTTTCATAGTAAACTCATTATTTCTTTTTTCTATATTTTATTTGAAAACAAGCTTATATTCATTATCTATAACCATACTAAAATACGATTCAAATAAGAATAGGAAAGCCAATGACCTCTATCTGTCAAATGTCGCTTGAAAAATATAGCTCTTATATACATAATAACATATAAATAATAATTTATGTAGTTATTGAGTGAATTGGCCAAAATATAACAATAAGTGTCACATAAGACGGAAAAACATCTCCCATCTGCGAGCCATTTTGGACTGCACTGCAAAAACAATAAAAGTTACATGAATGTAATGTAGAGTGAAAATTTACCTCATAAATAGTTCTAAAAAAAAAGTCCAGGACACCATATATCTATTTTTAATGTGTAAGCCATTACCGCTTAAATAGTGAATCAAAGCTAAAATATTATTAGATATCTATTTCCAAAATGCACATTTTGTATTAACAAATTATTTTTTATCAAAAGAAATACTTTCATCGCTTTTGATATTTAAAGACGATAAACTTTGCCTTTTCAACTATGTCATTTCGACAAATAATTAAAAAGTTACAACGATAACACAGTGATAGCGCGGTGTACTATATAGGAGTAGACTGCGGGAATACTAAGAGAAGAAATTTAGTTTAGGTGTTTATAAACGTGGATAAAACCTAGGCGAAAAAGAAAAAAATGGGCTACTCGCAGTATCTGATCCTATACAAAATACTTACAATAAAACTGTGAAACAGTTCCTTCTTATTGAATGATAAAAAATAAATTATCATAATAGGTATTTCTGATTATTGAATTTTAATGAAAACTAAGAATTATACTGCTTTTAATTTTTTTTTAACGATATCACTTAATATTATAAAAGAGTTTTACTTAATATAATGACAAATATATTGTTTTAAACTTTCATGGTCACTAACATTATAGCTATTAACGGGATTGTTACCATGTACCTTGTTTTTTATGAGTCTCCGATATTTCGGCACTGTTGCAAGCGCCATGATCACGGAGTAACTGAAGTAATTGCGGGTAGATGTTATTGGCAGACATATCGGTCTACCCTCTGACGTCGTCTTTTACTGCGCTCGATACCCCTCCCATTGGTCACATTCTCACTATTCACTCGCACCTGTTCCCGACACACAATACTCACAGTATCCGATCGCGGAACGACACTTTTTTGATTTTTACGGTTTTTGCACATACGAACCACTGGATTCCAGACACTTGACAATTTAAACCCATCCTCACGATTGAAATTTTTGTGTTTGGTTATTTCAATCGCTTCCCTGACCAATCTTAGTATGTAGTGGCGTTCTGTCGAGATGATTGTGGATTATGGAGCTCAATCCAGTGATTCGGACCCGAATCGATTAAATGTTCCGCGATAGCTGATTTCTGCGTATCATTGTTTCTGACTGCTTTTATGTGTTCTTTCATTCGGCACGCTATTGTCCGCTTCGTTTGACCAATATATGAACTACCACAGCTGCAGTCGATCTTATATACACCAGGTTTCTCCAAAGGGAAGTTGTCTTTGGGAGATCGTAGAAACTGTGACACTTTTTGTAAAGGAGTGAAGACAGTATTCAGTGAGTACTTATTAAGTATGTTCGAGATCTTGTCTGTCACTCCTTTGATATATGGCAAAAATACTGGTTGACTGCTTACTATGTGTGTCTGGTGCCTTAATTTGTGTTTGGGTGGAAACTGTCCCTTGTATCCATTATTCTGTAGGGCCCGCCGTACATACTCCAACTCTTCGTGCAGGTATTTCTTGTCACACAAGTCATATGCACGGTTTGTCAGTGAAGTCACTACAGAGTTTAGATGTCTGGGGTGGTGATGCGTTGGATATTCTTTTATAAATGAGCGGGTGCTTCGATCAGTCCTCGCCGTTGGATTGTAATTCACCTTAATATACGTGTTGGAATCAGTGAGTAGACTATGAATCTTACTTTCATACTCAGTGATGGCCATTATGACAGTCGCATTCCCTTTATCAGCTTTGAGTATTATTATGTTATTGTTCTTTCGAAGATCTTGTAACGCAGCTGATTCGGAGGAAGTAATGTTCGGTCTTGGTGGCCTCGCATTACGTAACACCACAGCAACATCTTGTCTTAGCGTGTCCGCATCGATTGCTGGAATCTTGTTACGCATGACACCTTCTTCAACCGACCCAATGACCTCCTCATAGGGAATGCGTCTAGGTGTAATAGCGAAATTCATCCCTTTTTCAAAAACTGACTGTGCAGCGTCTGTTAACTCAATGCTCGACAAATTGATGACCGTTCGAGTTGGTAGTGAGTTCTCGTAGTAGGGGACATGAGACTTTTGTCTTTTTAACAATAACTCGAACTTACGATCTTGTTTCATAGCACTAAGTTCCCTGGTACGTTGACCTTGTAAGTAGGTAACACGATCGCAAACATCAAAATCGCTCGTAGAAAGAGTTTCACTGCACTTGAGATGTATTTGGTATAGTTCACACTGACCTTCAGACCTGACAGTCGGTACTTGCAATTTCGTATCGATTTTTGCAACAGTTTTTTACTCGCATTTTGCAAAACACTCGCGGAACCATGAATGTCTGGTCGTGGTTTTATCCGAACACATGTGGGGATAATGTCTGAATTACGGCACTTCACTATTAATGATAGTGATTCCTTTAAACACTCACACCTTTTCCGCGCGCGTTATAGGTCTTTTATTAATTTTGCTGTATCCGGCCCGTACCGGTTAACGATATATTGTTTTAAACTTTCATGGTCACTGACATTATAGCTATTAACGGGATTGTTACCATGTACCTTGTTTTTTATGAGTCTCCGATATTTCGGCACTGTTGCAAGCGCCATGATCACGGAGTAACTGAAGTAATTGCGGGTAGATGTTATTGGTAGACGTATCGGTCTACCCTCTGACGTCGTCTTTTACTGCGCTCGATACCCCTACCATTGGTCACATTCTCACTATTCACTCGCACCTGTTCCCGACACACAATACTCACAGTATCCGATCGCGGAACGACACTTTTTTGATTTTTACGGTTTACGTTTTACGCTGTACGTTTACTACCAACTCGAACGGTCATCAATTTGTCGAGCATTGAGTTAACAGACGCTGCACAGTCAGTTCTTGAAAAAGGGATGAATTTCGCTATTACACCTAGACGCATTCCCTATGAGGAGGTCATTGGGTCGGTTGAAGAAGGTGTCATGCGTAACAAGATTCCAGCAATCGATGCGGACACGCTAAGACAAGATGTTGCTGTGGTGTTACGTAATGCGAGGCCACCAAGACCGAACATTACTTCCTCCGAATCAGCTGCGTTACAAGATCTTCGAAAGAACAATAACATAATAATACTCAAAGCTGATAAAGGGAATGCCACTGTCATAATGGACATCACTGAGTATGAAAGTAAGATTCATAGTCTACTCACTGATTCTAACACGTATATTAAGGTGAATTACAATCCAACGGCGAGGACTGATCGAAGCACCCGCTCATTTATAAAAGAATATGCCTACGCTCTAGACGACGATACCGTCAAATATTTGCTAGGTCCTAGAAACGTCCAGCCTCCAAAACTATATGGACTGCCTAAGATACACAAGCTGAATGTGCCGCTACGTTCGATCGTGAGTCAGATAGACTCACCTACGTATGAACTGGCCAAGCACGTAGCAAAAATATTGCAGCCAATAGTGGGACGAACATCGTCGTTTGTAAAAGATTCCCGCCACTTCGTAGAAATCTTACACCAAAACAAGGTGGAAGACAATCACTTGATGGTTAGTTTCGAAGTGGAATCACTTTTCACAAATGTACCTGTGGTGGACTGTTTGGAAGTAGTAAAGGTGAAATTGCAAGACAATAACATCCCGACGGAATATGCCAAGTTTTTGCATCATTGTTTGACGACGAACTTCTTTATATACCAGGGTCAGTACTACCTCCAAATAGATGGGGTCGCAATGGGCAGTCCGGTAGCTCCAGTCGTTGGGAATATATGGATGGACTATTTTGAAGAAAAAGCTTTCGCCACCGCCCCCACAGAAATTGCACTATGGAAGAGGTATGTTGATGACGTATTTTGTATATTGAGAGGAAACAAAGAAGATGTCGAGGCTCATTTGGCAAATTTAAATAGAGTCCATACCAAAATGCATTTCACATATGAGATGGAAGAAGACCGAAGTCTGGCATTTCTTGACGTAAAGATTCGGGTGCGGAATGATGGTTCGCTGAGTCATTCCATTCACCGCAAACTCACACACACAGACCGTTATCTCAACGCCTCCTCGCATCACCACTCCAGACATCTAAACTCTGTAATGACTTCACTGACAAACCGTGCATATGACTTGTGTGACAAGGAACACCTGCACGAAGAGTTGGAGTATGTACGGCGGGTCCTACAGAATAATAGATACAAGGGATAGTTTCCACCCAAACACAAATTAAGGCACCAGACACACATAGTAAGCAGTGGTGATGCGAGGCACCACTCCAGACATCTAAACTCTGTAGTGACTTCACTGACAAACCGTGCATATGATTTGTGTGACAAGGAACACCTGCACGAAGAGTTGGAGTATGTACGGCGGGCCCTACAGAATAATGGATACAAGGGACAGTTTCCACCCAAACACAAATTAAGGCACCAGACACACATAGTAAGCAGGCAACCAGTATTTTTGCCATATATCAAAGGAGTGACAGACAAGATCTCGAACATACTTAATAAGTACTCACTGAATACTGTCTTCACTCCTTTACAAAAAGTGTCACAGTTTCTACGATCTCCCAAAGACAACTTCCCTTTGGAGAAACCTGGTGTATATAAGATCGACTGCAGCTGGGGTAGTTCATATATTGGCCAAACGAAGCGGACAATAGCGTGCCGAATGAAAGAACACAT